AGGGGGACTGGTTGGCAGGCGGGTGGACACGCATTTCAATGGCTGTCTTCCCCACGCTGGAGTCGAGTGGGTGCCACCGCAGGAGGGAACAGTGGCCGGGGCGTGTGCTCATTCGGCCTTTCGGTGACTCTGTGCAGTGTTTGTGCTTTTGGTGAACTCCTGGCCCCGTTTTCTGTGACTTTCACACTTTGGATAGTCCATCTTGAGGCCTAGCTCCTACCCTGCCACTTGCACATGCACATGCATGCACACACATGCACGCACATGCACATGCACGCACAGCCCCCCCCCCCTCCGCTCTGAGTGGCCTCCGTGGCTGGAAACCACAGGTGCCAGCTTGGCTCTTGGCATCTGCCCTCTGAGTCCTGAGTGACTGGGCAGAGTTCTTCCTCCTCTTGAAAGTCCTGGGATCTCAGCTCCTAAAAGGCCATTTCCCTCCGTGCCCCTCCCCCGAGTTGGCCGTACAGGCTGCGGTGCCCCGGGCGTGAGGGTGGTTTCGGCACATGCAACAGTGAAGACCTTACAGGCTCACCCAGACACCGTCCTCGATGAGACACGCGCTGAGGGTGGGAATCCATCGGAGGGCGGAGGCCCTTCCCTGAGCTCAGGAGTAAGGCGGGGCGCCCCCCCCCCCTCCGCTCTGAGTGGCCTTGTTTTGGAGATCCTAGCCACTTAGCTAAACAAGAGGAGACATTTCCAGGCACAGGAATTGGCAGAAAGGAGGTAAGGCCGTCTGTCTCCCCAGATGGCACAGTAACACCCGGGATCCAGTGGTGAAAATAACTCAGATAATGCGAGAACCCAGTTAGGGAACAGCCTATAGAATGAGTAATGCTTTAAAAACCTCACCTGAAATAGACAATTTTTCATTGTTGTTGTTTGTAGGTATGTTTGTTTTCAAATGTGTTTTTATGTCTTGATTTTAACTATCTCATGAAACGTCACTCTGGTCGTTTGGTAACAGGTGGGGTTTGCCGTGGCGTCTGTCCCTGGACTCATTGTCTGAGTGTCCCCCTGGGGCCTCCGGCTGCCCCGGCTCTGGCTGCTTCCCGCGGGGGCCCCCTGGCCTGGCCTCCGGGCTGTGTCCATGTGGGTTGGGCAGTCCCTGCTCAGGCCAGCTGAGGCCGAGAGGAGACACGCTCCCAAGTCCGGCGGCCTGGCCAGCCCGGGGGCTGGGGGGGGCGGCGGGGAGGGCGGCCGCGGCTTCCTGGGGGTTAGCCCGGGTGGACGCCAGCGTCCACGGAATTCCTCACTCCTGAACTCTCTGCAGCCTTGGATATTTCTTCAGCACTTCATTTTTTATTTTAAAATTATTTTAAACCCAAGTATCCTGTGGAAATGGTCCAGATGGCTCTTGACAAAGCACAGCTGCCCTCGTCCCCCCTCGCTCCGGCCAGCCCTCTTCGCAGCCTTCGCGGCTGCTGCTGGCGGGCTCGCGGCTCTAGGCCGTCTCTCGTCGGAAATTCCAGCTTATGCCGCGTAAACAGCCAGCGCCGAGCCAAGTCCAGCGCTAGATGACGTGGCCGTGGGCTTGTACTGCGAGGCTCAGTGTCGCCTCGTGTGCCCTGCCCCCCTGCAGCTGCTCTGTAAATCCTCCACACGCAGCCCGTGTGCCAGGCAGGGGTGCTGCCCTACTGCCCCCCATCTCCGTGGTCCCCACCTGGTCCCCAGTGCAGAGGCTCACGACCATATATACAATCTACGTGTTGAGCCGTCAGAGCCCTCCCCACCCGCCCGCCCCTCCTCACCCCGCGTTGCCATCCTGGGTCCCACCCAGGGGTCTCCACTCCCCGACCCCCACAGCCAGATCAGTCCTGGCTCCCACTCCACGGGCCTCTCTTTATTCCCGTGACTTTGTTTCCCGAAACGTGCCTCCGGCTTTTCTGCTTCTGCTGCTCCGCCCAAACCCCACCTGCCCGGTGCTTCTGGGCCCCCACGCCGAGGCCACCTCCCTCCCCAGGACCCATCGGTGCTCCTGGCACACGTTCTGTCCGGCTTCTCTTCCTGGAGGTCACGCCTCTCCTGCCCTCAGGACCTGGACTGTCCACCGAGTGTGGGAAAGACTTTCCGGAAAGAGGCTGGAGCTGGTGCTGCCAGTGGCTGCGCCCCGGGCCGTTGGCAGCTGCTCTGTGAGAGTCATGGGCATGTGGCTCCGCTGTCCTTCCATGCCTGCCAGGGGCTCTTCCCACCCAGAGGACGGACTGTGCCCGGGCCCCGTGGTACCTGCTGTGGCCATGTTCCTGCAGGGAACCCACACCACTGCCAGAACGTGGCATGAGGGGTTAGGGACCCCTAAATGGGAGCGCTTCTGCCTCTAGGATCAGATCAGGGTCTGGCAGGCGTCTCCTGTCGGCTGTCCGCCCCCCCCGCCCCCGCTCCCCTGTGCATGTAGGCTCACTGGGTGGGCACTTGGTCTGTCTTTCTCTCGGCTGCTTCCTAGCACTGGGCACAGGGCCCGGCTCTGAGCAGACATGCGGCGTGTGGGATGAGAAGCTGGGAAGAATAGAGATGGCCCCTGTGTGAGAAGGGACCGCAGAGGCAGGCTGGGCGGCAGCAGGAGACGCCACCCAAGCAGCAGGAGCCTGTGCGTGTGCTGGGGCTGGCGGCGTGCACACGTGGCTGCCCAGGGGTCCCAAGGCCGGGCACCGCACCGCTTCACCAGGACCCGAGGAAGGGGCAGCGGGGGAACCGCAGACCCTGGCAGGGAGGCAGGTGGCCCCAGCAGAGGACGCCTGGGAGGCGAGGTGCTGGGTGGGGAGCCTCCCGCGCAGATGCTCCTGGCGCGGTTCTGGTGGGCGGCTGTGGAGACGCAGTGTTTGCACTTGTGGGAGGAATTGATTTCACCGAACAATACAGAGGGAGGCACGGGCGCCTTTCCAGTTTTGTGGCCTCGCTGAGCGGCACTCCCGCGTAGACACGGGCAGTGGGATTTGCTCCCTGGTCAGAGGGCGCCCCTGACCCCTGTCCCAGGAGCTGGCTTCCTCCAGCCTCGGGTCCTCTCTGCAGCCCCTCCTCGTGGGGTGGGGGGGCCTCCCTCTGGAGCTCGGAGCGCTTTGCTTGGGAGACACGGTCAGCCCCCAGCATGAGGTCATCTGTCCAGCCTGCTGGTCCCCTGCCTTTGGTGCCAGATTAACTCGCCTGCTTCTGCGATCGTGAGGGACACGTGGTAGGTGGCCCCTGCAGGACCTTTCCTACTCAACATCACGAATATGGAATTCTTTTTAAAAAAATATATTTTTATTGATTTCAGAGAGGAAAAGAGGGGGAGAGATAGAAACATTAATGATGAGAGAGAATCACTGATTGGCTGCCTCCTGCACGCCCCACACTGGGGATCAAGCCCACAACCCAGGCGTGTGCCCTGACCAGGAATTGAACTGTGACCTCCTGGTTCATAGGTCGATGCTCAACCGCTGAGCCACACGGGCTGGGCTGAACATAGAATTCTTAAATACTAGAGGCCAAATGCATGAAATTTGTGCAAGAGTAGGCCTTCGCAGCTGTAGTGGCTGCCTGGATCCCTCCCTCGCAGCTACGGCAGCTGCCTCGATCCTGCTGCAGCCCCAGCTTTGTCCGGAAGGACGTGCAGTCTAATTAGCATATTATGCTTTTATTATTATAGACTAGAGGCCTAATGTATGAAATTCATGCACAGGTAGGGTCCCTAGGCCTGGCTGGCGATCAGGGCCGATTGGGTCCTTCCTTCCCCCAGCTGCTGGCCGGGCCCTTCATTCTGCACCACTCCCGGTCAGCGCACACCATAGTGAGCCGTCATACTCCTGAGGGAACAATTTGCATATTAGCCTTTTATTATATAGGATTAGGCTTCACCCCCAACTTCAGTCTAGACTCCTTTGAGGACATGGACACCAGTGGGATGGTTCTTGGCCTTCAGAGATGTGCCCTTGACCTTGCATGGAATCGAGTGAGGCTGCCACCTCCCCAGAGCGGGTGGGGGGTGGGG